AAAATTTCCAAAACAAGCCAAGATGCTATTGGCTTTCTTGGCCACCTGGGCACACTGCTGGCTCATATTCAGCTGGCTGTTAACCAGCACCACCAGGTCCTTTTCAGCCAGGCAGCTCTCCAGCCACTCCTCCCCCAGCCTGTAGCGTTGCATGGGGTTGTTGTGACCCAAGTGCAGGACCCGGCACTGAGCCTTTTGAATCTCATACAGTCGGCCTCGGCCCATCGATCCAGCCTGTCCAGGTCCCTCTGTAGAGCCTTCCTACCCTCCAGCAGATCAACACTCCCGCCCAGCTTGGTGTCGTCTGCAAACTTACTGAGGGTGCACTCGATCCTCTCCTCCAGATCATTGATAAAAATATTAAACAGGACTGGCCCCAATACTGAGCCCTGGGGAACACCACTTGTGACCAGCTGCCAACTGGATTTAACTCCATTCACCACCACTTTCTGGGCCCGGCCATCCAGTCAGTTTTTTACCCAGTGAAGAGTATACTCATCCAAGCCATGAGCAGCCAGTTTCTCCAGGAGAATGCTGTGGGAAACCTTGTCAAAGGCCTTACTAAAGTCCAGGCAGACAACATCCACAGCCTTTCCCTCATCCACTAAGTGGGTCAAAGGCACTTGTGAGAAGATCTGGCACTGAGCAGTTTCCTTCTGCAGTATGCAGAGCTGCATTGGTCAGAGTACAAATATGAGGGCTTATGCTTACATAATGTTGAATTCTACAGTAAAGAAAGGAAGAGGGGAAAGGAAGAAACTGCCACACAAGGTTGCATTGCAGAATATGAGTACAACTAGTCCCCAGGCTAAACATCATCTCCCTCAGGATGCCAGCATTTAGCCATTCCAACCTTTAGAACTTCCAACTGGAAGCATTTTTTTGAAAGTAAGAATTTGGGCTGAGTGCTGATCACAGACAAAATAACAGTGCGAAGTGGTTTTCTATTTGGTTTTGAATGCTTTTAACTCCCTGACTTGCTAGCAACTTTACTGTTTCACTTTTCTTGAAGAAACCAAAGACCATTACAGCTCACAGCACCTTGGGCAAGCAAATGTAAGAAAAACTCAACACTGACTTCCACCCACATCTGAGTGTATTAAATCAGCTCTGATTTTTAAGCAGTCTGCTTCATGGGAACTACAATTTATTAGGTGAAATTTTAACACTGCTGAATCAAGCGAGAACGTAATGTCAGGTCATTAAAAAAAAGGTAAACCTGTTGTCAATATACAGTATTTGAAGTGGGAAGTCATGTACAAGTAATTTACATTAAATTTTTTTAAAAAGTAAAAAATATTTTATGTATTCTCTTTGTTTTTTTAGAATACTAAAAAATGCAAAGATAATCTATGAATTAGAGTAGGTCATATGTTTTATTATTTTGCTAGTTCTTAAAGCTCAGAATCAGCAAAGCATTTAGATTTCTAACTTTAGTCAAATTCAAATTCTTAAATTGAAATTAAAATCGAGCCTCTAGAAATTAAAAGCCTAACCAATTTGCTGTACTGCACCAGCCAAAACCAGGGTTGTAATGTTGCAGCCCTGTTTACTTGTTCAAAATAACAGGAAATGCCTGCTTGTAACGTAGAAAGAGCTTGTAACATAAGAAAATATGAGAGAGACAAGATGGATGAAAGATCTAACACATGAGGAGAGTGACCACCACCATTGCAAAACATAAAATCTTTATTTCAAGATTTATAGTTAGGCAGGATTGGGAGGAAGGTGAAGGGACAAAGAGTAAATGTATAGAGATAGGAAAGAGACTGCGAGGGATTAGGCGGAGAAGCTGATGGTGAAAATGAGTATACAGTCAAACAGAAGAGGATGAAGAAACTCCAATCACTCTGGAGCTCTATATGTGAAGGTCCTGATATTTGGCAGCATGCTCCTCTTAGCTGGAGTCTCTGGCTCCTCTCTACTGTTTCTCCTTAGGAGCATAAGGCAGAGCAGTGTGGCCCAGTGTGCTGGGCCTGAACCACCTGGGCCCTAGTGCCCATCCAAGAAAAAAAATTAACACAAGGTACAACTGAATTTGGTCCTGCTG